CAACGTGCCGCAGCCCCCGTGGGTGAGGCGCTGGCAGGCCTTCCCCTCCGTGTGCTGCGCTGCTCGTTATGCCACGCGCACCGGGGCACACTGGGGCACACTGGGGCGCACTGCGGCGCACTGGGGCGCACTGGGGCGCACTGGGGCGCACTGGGGCGCACTGGGGCGCACTCGGGCGCACTGGGGCGCACTGGGGCGCACTGGGCCACACTGGGGCACACTGGGGCACACTGGGGCGCACTGGGGCGCACTGGGGCGCACTGGGGCGCACTGGGGCGCACTGGGGCACACTGAGGGCGCACTGGGGCGCGCTGGGCCGCGCTTGGGCGGACTGAGGTGGCATATAGGCAGTGGCATGGGGCGGGTGTTGGTGTGGAACGCTGTGAGTGGATTGGGGCGTCACGCAGTCGTGGAAATGCTTTGTGCTTTGTGGGCTGGCCAGCCGTGGCCAGTCCCGCATTCATGTCGCATGTCTGTAGTACGTCAAGCAGTCGGCGCCATAACCAGACTTTGCATCGTATCGCCCATGCTGCTTGCCTTTTTTTCCGCTGTTATTCGACCCCTTCCTCCATATCCTCCACTCCCTCTCTCCCCGTCTCCCCTTTTCTCCTGCGCCCTGCACCGTTGCCTGCCTGCCTGCCCACGTCCACCTCCCTGCACTTGGCACAGCAGGTGAGGGGGGCGGACGCGGCGAATCTGGGGGACACGCGGGAGGTGCAGAGGGACCTGTGGGCGCACCAGTTCCCCCCCGGGGCGTGTGAGGGCCGCCGCCTGCTGCTCGTGCACTGGCCGCCCCTCCCCCTGCCACCCCAGGATGCCCACGGCAGCAGCAACGCCAATAGCAACCTCACTCAGGACAGCAGTAACAATAGCAGCGATAGCGGCGGCAGCGGTGGCAATAGCAGCAGCATAGACGATGAAAGCAGCAACACAAGTGGCAGCAGCAGCAGCGGCGGCGGTGAGAGCGGTGTTGAGAGGAGTGCAGTGAGTGCAGTGAGTGCAGTGAGTGCAGTGAGTGCAGTGAGTGCAGCGAGTGCAGCGAGTGCAGTGAGTGCAGCGAGTGCAGTGAGTGCATCTGTGGTGGCGGAGCAGCTGGCGGCCATGGCAGGCGCGCTGAGCGTGGCGGTGAGCAGCCAGCGCGTGCTGGTGCCCATGCCAGGCTCCTTCCTCCCCGCCCACCACCCCCACTGCCACGGTCAGTGCGCCCATGCCGTGCCACACTGCGTGGAGTACACTCTGGTACTTGTTCGAGGCTGGTGCGTGTCATGGTAGGGAGGTTCTTGAAAGCAGCTTCAGGGTCGACTCACAAGTCAACCTCACAGTGGCCCCGCCACTTTCGATCTTGGGTGTCTCCACCACAATTCTTTTCCCATTTCCCGTTCCCACCCTCAGTGTACCTTCACCTTTCTTGTGTCGGTGGGAGATGGTGTCCTCTTTTGCCGCGAGAAGGTTGGTGGGGAAGGGAACATGGAGAGGGTTGTGCATCAGGAGAGCCTTAGTTACTCAGGGGATTACTCGGACCATTGGAGAAACTGCATGCGCTCGCTTCACCCTGGAATGCTATGCTGCTCAGGACAACCCCCCCCAACCCCTGCGTCAATCCGTTTCCCCTCGTGCCCTCCCCCTCTCTTCCCTCCATCCATGCCCAACCCCCCATGCCCTTCCCCCACATCCTCCCCCAATTCCTGCCCACCCTCACAGCGGTGAACGAGTCAGGGTCGCTGCACTGCTACTTCTTCCGCTCCGTGTCAGCAGCCTGCGAGGCAGCAGCCATGCAGCAGTACCGCGCTGCTGGCTCGCCCCCCTGCCGCCCGCTCTCCCACCTCGCCGATGCCATTGCCTCGAACGACTCCCTCGTCTGTGCCCTCGCCACCCTCCACCCCTCCTCTCGCCCCGACTCTGGTGCTGCTAGGTACTCCCACACACGCACCCTAAGGTTGTGCATTCCATGACCCTGTGCATTGTTTTCTACTCCAACAATGCCATCGATCGACGTGTGTGTGGAGGCAATGTGCCACTCGCCTCTCTCACCGTTGCTCACTTCCCATCGTCTGCTTGCATCCTCATTACCCGTTGCGGTGCTTCTTATGCCTTGATGCTGCCATGCCTCTTGGTAGGGCATGGGGCGATGCATTCAAGCAGCGACCTTACCTTGTGGAGGAGAGGGGTGTGATGGTCAACGCCACTGAGGAGCACATGCAGGTCACCCATGCCGTGCCATGCCGTGCCATGCCATGCCATGCCATGCCATGCCATGCCATGCCGTGCCATGCCATGCCATGCCGTGCCATGCCATGCCATGCCGTGCCATGCCATGCCACGCCATGCCATGCCATGCCATGCCATGCCGTGCCATGCCATGCCATGCCGTGCCATGCCATGCCATGCCATGCCATGCTGTGCCATGCCATGCCATGCCATGCCATGCCATGCTGTGCCATGCCATGCCATGCCATGCCATGCCATGCTGTGCCATGCCATGCCATGCCATGCCATGCCGTGCCATGCCATGCCATTCCATGCTGTACCATGCCATGCCATGCCATGCCATGCCATGCCGTTCCATGCTGTGCCATGCCATGCCATGCCATGCCATGCCATGCTGTGCCATGCCTTGCCGTGCCATGCCATGCCATGCCATGCCATGCCATGCCATGCCATGCCGTTCCATGCTGTGCCATGCCATGGCATGCCATGCCGTACCATGCCATGCCATGCTGTGCCATGCCATGCCATGCCATGCCATGCCATGCAATGCCATGCCATGCCATGCCATGCTGTGCCATGCCATGCCATGCCATGCCATGCCATGCTGTGCCATGCCATGCCATGCCATGCCATGCCATGCCGTGCCATGCCATGCCATGCCGTGCCATGCCATGCCATGCCGTGCCGTGCCATGCCATGCCACGCCATGCCATGCCATGCCACGCCATGCCATGCCATGCCATGCCATGCCATGCCATGTCATGCCATGCTACGCCGCGCCGTGCGTGCCATGCCATGCTGTGCCATGCCATGCCATGCCATGCCATGCCATGCCGTGCCATGCCATGCCATGCCGTGCCATGCCATGCCGTGCCATGCCATGCCATGCCGTGCCATGCCGTGCCATGCCATGCCATGCCATGCCATGCCATGCTACGCCGTGCCGTGCGTGCCATGCCATGCTGTGCCATGCCATGCCATGCTGTGCGTGCCATGCCATGCTGTCCCATGCGATGCCATGCTGTGCCATGCCATGCCATGTCGTGCCATGCCATGCCATGCCATGCCATGCCATGCCATGCCATTCTATGCTGTACCATGCCATGCCATGCCGTTCCATGCTGTGCCATGCCATGCCATGCCATGCCATGCCATGCTGTGCCATGCCATGCCATGCCATGCCATGCCGTGCCATGCCATGCCATTCCATGCTGTACCATGCCATGCCATGCCATGCCATGCCATGCCGTTCCATGCTGTGCCATGCCATGCCATGCCATGCCATGCCATGCTGTGCCATGCCTTGCCGTGCCATGCCATGCCATGCCATGCCATGCCATGCCATGCCATGCCATGCCGTTCCATGCTGTGCCATGCCATGGCATGCCATGCCGTACCATGCCATGCCATGCTGTGCCATGCCATGCCATGCCATGCCATGCCATGCAATGCCATGCCATGCCATGCCATGCTGTGCCATGCCATGCCATGCCATGCCATGCCATGCTGTGCCATGCCATGCCATGCCATGCCATGCCATGCCGTGCCATGCCATGCCATGCCGTGCCATGCCATGCCATGCCGTGCCGTGCCATGCCATGCCACGCCATGCCATGCCATGCCACGCCATGCCATGCCATGCCATGCCATGCCATGCCATGTCATGCCATGCTACGCCGCGCCGTGCGTGCCATGCCATGCTGTGCCATGCCATGCCATGCCATGCCATGCCATGCCGTGCCATGCCATGCCATGCCGTGCCATGCCATGCCGTGCCATGCCATGCCATGCCGTGCCATGCCGTGCCATGCCATGCCATGCCATGCCATGCCATGCTACGCCGTGCCGTGCGTGCCATGCCATGCTGTGCCATGCCATGCCATGCTGTGCGTGCCATGCCATGCTGTCCCATGCGATGCCATGCTGTGCCATGCCATGCCATGTCGTGCCATGCCATGCCATGCCATGCCATGCCATGCCATGCCATTCTATGCTGTACCATGCCATGCCATGCCGTTCCATGCTGTGCCATGCCATGCCATGCCATGCCATGCCATGCTATGCCATGCCATGCCATGCCATGCCGTGCCATGCCATGCCATGCCATGCCATGCGGTTCCATGCTGTGCCATGCCATGGCATGCCATGCCGTACCATGCCATGCCATGCTGTGCCATGCCATCCCATGCTGTGCCATGCCATGCCATGCAATGCTGTTCCATGCCATGCTATGCTGTGCCATGCTGTGCCATGCCATGCCATGCCATGCTGTGCCATGCCATGCCATGCCATGCCGTGCCATGCCGTGCCATGCCATGCCATGCCATGCCGTGCCATGCCATGCCATGCCGTGCCATGCCATGCCATGCCGTGCCATGCCATGCCATGCCGTGCCATGCCATGCCATGCCGTGCCATGCCATGCCATGCCGTGCCATGCCATGCCATGCCATGCCATGCCTGCTGTGCCATGCCATTCCATCCGATGCCATGCCATGCGATAATGTGCCGTGCCATGCAATGCCATGCCGTGCTGTTCCGTGCCATTCTATACCATTCCATCCCATGCCGCACTGCCATTCCCTCCCATGCTACGCCGTGATCTGCCGTGTCGTGCCACCATAGTCCAAGCCTTGTCATGCCCTACTGTACCATGCTGTGCCATGCCATGCGCTCCCCTCTCTCCCACTGCCCACCTTCTCCTCCGTGCCCCAGGCCTACTGGTGGCACGCGCAGGCGCTGCGCTTCCTGCTGCGCTGGCCGTCCGCGCTGCTGTGCCATGCCACCAACCGCATGCGCCACTCCGCGTACGGGCTGCAAGCCGCCGAGCATTCGGCAGCATACATGAAAGAGCAGCGCGAGATAGTCACTGCTCTCCGCTCCGACCCAGCAGATCCAAACCCTGGCGTACATCTGCGCGCAGAAGCTGCTATCCTCGCCGCACTTGACTACACCAAACGCCCTAACTTGGAAACACAAGTGTGGCCTGGGCTCGGGTACGCGGGGTGTGGATATGCCTCAGAGACTGGGAGTGCAGGTGAGGAGCGAGGAGGGCGTGAAGCGGAGAAAGCGGGAGGTTCAGGCGGAGGTGGATGGACTGCTGGGAGCTGGTCTATTGGCGGATGGAGCATTGCGCCGTGGGGCGTTAAAGCAGCAGACGAGGAGGATGTGGAGGAGGAGAAGCCGGCGCCGTTGCTCATGTACGAGCGCGTGGGAAGGGAGGTGGGCATGCCGCGGCCCGTGGTCAGCATGCATGTGGAGCACCATGCAGGCGCCTCAGCGGATGCGCTGCTGCCGCTGCTCTCGCTGGCGTACCGCCTGCGCCATCTCAACCCCACACTCCAATTCGCCTGGCTCTCCGCAGATGATTTGGTAAGTGCGGCTGTGCTGTGCGGCTGTGCGGCTGTGCTGTGCTGGCTTTGCTGCATCTCGGCACAGCACATGGTTAGTGTGCATCTCGGCACAGCACATGGTTAGTGTGCATCTACACAGACAAGCTGGTGCTTGCGGGTGTCATTTGGAAAAATCGGGAGGAATGCGGGGATGGGTGGGGAGTACTTTTTCTCTGTACAGATCCTTATCTGCATGCCGGTCCCCCTCTTTTCTTATGCAACCATCATTCCACCTGCAAATGAATCTCTGCTTTACGCCATGCACAATGCAGGATATGGGTCAGCAACTGAGCACACTCACACGCGCACATCTGCAATCTTCCTGGTCCTTTCTCCATCCGTATGGCACGGACCTGCAAGAGCACGACCCAGTTGCTGCCATTTTTTCCAACCTCCTCATTTCATCAGAGTCTGATTATCTTGTAGCTGCACTCAACTCAGCATGGACCCAGGCCTTGCATGCACTCAGGTCCACAAATGGCCGTCTATACTCCAGGTTTTTGTCCTACTAATTTTGTTTTTACCGTAATCTCCCAAATAAAGGACCCCCCTAAAAGGACCCCGAAACTTGTACACGGGTACTTGGACTCGAATTTTGGCAAGTGTGAGAACCCCTCTTTTGCCCATAATTATTTTAAGTCCCCCCTTTTTTGTATATATCGGTGCTAGGCTTCATTGTTCGCTCAGGTGGTGGCAGTGACGACTGCGGCTGCTGCCAGAACAAATGGTCAACGCTGTCGTGGCTGCGCAGCACCACCAGATCAAGTACCGTACTTTCAGCACCAGAACCTCCAACACTGTCAGCTCCAGCACGACCAGCTCCAAAACCTCCAGCACCATAAACCCCAGCACCTCCAGCGGGAACACCTCTAGTACCGTCAGCTCCAACACCTCCAGCTCCAATACCTCCATACTTAGAACCTCCAGCAACTACAGCTCCAGCACCACCAGCTCTAGAACCTCTAGCACCAAATCCTGGAGGACCTCCAGCGGTAGTACCTCCAGCACCGCCAGCTCCAGAACCTCCAGCACCAGAACCCCCAGTACCTCCAGCGGTATTACCTCCTGTACCACCAGCTCTAGCACCTCCAGCTCCAGCACCGACAGCACCAGAAGAACCTGGATGTGAGCACCGACAGCTCCAGCTACAGTACCCTCAACTCCACCACCACGAGGACGTTCAGCATCCCCAGAACCAACAACACTAGAGTCAACACCCCAGAACCAGCACCCCCAAGAACCAGCACCTCCAGCGTCAGCACCCCCAGACCCAGAACCTCCTGAGCCCGCACCTCCAGCGTAACCACCCCCAGCAGCACTGAAGTCCACAGCGACAGGCTACAGAGGTGGCGAAGGCGGCCAAGGCGGAAAACCAGAAGGGGTCTCCAAGCGTGGGGTGCGGCGAGAGGCCGCAGTTTTGTCAGCAGTATTGTTACTCCGATCAGTTGTGCCAGTGGGGTCTGAGGAGACCTCCAAAGACTCAAGCAAGGGGGGTGGTGAGCCCTGAGACACACCTTTAAGAGCAGGACGCAAAGTGGAGGGGCGAGGGTGTACCAGGAAAAAGGGGGGGGGGGGGGGGGGGGGGGGGGGGGGGGGGGGGGGGGGGGGGGGGGGGGGAGAGGCAATCGGGGAACATCGATGGGGGAAAAGACGGTAGTAGCAAACGAGCTTGTCAGAAATGACGTCGCGGGAGTAGAGGACACGACGCTTGGCTGGGTGGTAAAACTGCCAGGGCAGCGCGTCGTTGGGAAAGCCAAGGAAAAGGCAGCGAATGGTGCGAGGAGAGAGCTTGCCAGCGGTAATATCGCCGACAAGGGCAAACAAACCCCATACCAGATGACTCACACATCACCAACCTCCCCCGTCCAATGCAATGTAGGCAAGCTCTCTTGCTCGGAGACATGGGGGCAGAGGTTGAGCTGATGCGCGAGCGTATCGGACCGCAAATGGCCACAGAAATGAAGAGCGGCCACATGGATCAGGGAGGTGCGAGCAACATCCACAATCAAGACAATGCGACCCTCAGCGATTCCATTCTGCTGTGGATAGGCCCGGAGCATGAACGACTGAGTGATGCTCTCCTTACGACAAAAATTTTCGAGGAGACCAGAGGAAAAATTTTCACCTTGGTCAGAGTGCAGACGGAGCACCGAAAGGTCCTGACAGAACCGAGCGCTCAACTAGCGACGAACAATGCAGATTCAAGAGATCAAAACGACACGGACGTCTCTCTTGTGGAGCAAGGGAAACATCGTGGTGTAGCATGTGTAGTCGTCGACGACCAGCAGGAAGTAGCGCTCGCGGCCCAGAGATGGGGGCGGGGCCCGACACGTCCATGTGCAGCGTCTGCAGAGGAGCAGTGGTCGTGGAATGAGGAGGAGCGAGGGGCGGCGCACCTGCCGCCCCTCGACGCAGGTGGTGCACGGCGGCACAAGCGACGGCGGGAGAGGGGGCAGTGCCTACGGGAGGCCAGAGAAAAGGAGACGCGAATGCATGCAACAAAGACGCTGCAAGGAGGGGTGACCAAGACGGTGGTGCTTGAGGAGAGACGGGTGCATGTGTAACTGGCATGAGCAAGACGCAACTACCTGGCCGGACGCTGCCACCTGGCCCGACACAGCCACCTGTGCAGACTTAGGGCACATTCTGCTGGTGTTACGAAACAATGTTCATGACTAATTGTGACAAATTGTGACACTTCGAACCATGAATAGTCATGATCTAGCCAGATGTCTTACTAGGAATGGTTAGATACTTACTATTCATGATTTTTTTCCATACGCAAATAGTCACGATTATGATTTCAAATATCACAATTAGTCACAAATACGTTTGTGACACTTTCTTTCTAGACATCTCTACAGCTTAATGTACCCTTAGTATGCAACGTGTACATGCTAGACCCGGCCTCCGAGTGAACGTGGCGAGGTGGTAGCCAGTCACTGAGTCTATACAGGACGAGCTCGCCCCCAGGAGTAATGGTAGTGACCAACTCATCCAGGAGGATAGGAGTGTTCACCAATTTTGTAGCGAACGAGAGTAGGTGGAGACCTATGAGGGGGCCACTGGGGGGCTGCCGCACACGAGAGAACAGTGGTACCAGGTGCCACGACTGGGCCAGAAGAGGAGTCGGCCGGAGTGACAGGGACATGTGCTATGAGTGGTGTGATTGTGGTGCTGTCGCAGAAGAAGCAGCAATACGCGCCTGAGTCTAGCGTGAAGGTGTGAAAGGCCTCTGCAGAAACTGCACCTGTGCTAGCAAACTCACATGCACCTAGACTAACAGCTTTTACACTACCAGAACTAGGTACACAAGAATAGAAGTCACCCTTAGCATTATCACCAGCAGCATACATAGCGACAGCAGAGATCTGGTCCCAATCATCAGGAAACACATCAATCTTCTTCTTGAGCAATGCTAACCAATCCGGAGTCTTGGCCTGCTCGTCAAACTCTGCTCAAAAGGCGTCCTCGAGATGGTGGAAGCTGCGAGCCTCACTGTGCCCATGCCGGCCGCTGACCTCTCCAGGGCGGCCCATGCGGCGGCGGTACTGGCACCTCCACCTCCGAAGCCACGGAGTTGCTGCGGCGAGAGACTCTCCTGGTGATGATGCTGCTGCTGCTGCTGCTGCTGACGCACCCCCAACTCCTCCCCTCCACAAGCTGTACTGCCAGACGCAACTCTTTGAGTAGCCGAACCCGAGCCTCCACCCCCACCGCCTCCACTACCCCCACCGCTGTCCTGGAAGTGTCTCAGGACAGATTCAGGACAGTTTCTGCTAAGGGGCTGGTTATGCTGCACTTGAGTTTCGAACTGGAGACCTTTCGATTCAAGTGTCCCGAAAGTGTCTTGGCAGGACAGATTGGGGACAGTTTGGGGACAGATTGGGGACACTTTGGCGAAATCGATCTCGGGTCGCGTTCGGTTTGAAACTCGGCAGCGAAGTGTCGAAGTCAACGGAATTCGCACGGGAGTTACAGTCGGTGGTCGACGGAATTCTGGTCGCGGAAATTCTCGTCTACAGATTTCCAGTCAATGGAACTCGCTCGGCGAAATTCAAGGCTCGGAATTTCGCGTCGACGAAATTCAGCGCGCGACCCGGGTCGACACTTTCTTGTGTGCTTTGTTTTTGTATTGCGTCCTAGTATAAAACCAGAGAGCACAAACCAGAAATTAACGAAGTCATTATCACTGCTATGTTTGTGTGTATCTCTGGCTATAGTGGACCGTTTCCTGCAATCTTTGGTGCGTTGGAATCGTGCTTCCAAGCTCTATCAAGCTGCTAAAGTAGTGAAATTCTACAGTAATTATACGCTCCTTCTCCGGGCTCGCGGTTGTACAGTATGTCGCTCTACACCTTTTTCAGAGGTGCGTATGCTGGTGCGCTTGGATTGTGATGCGAGACGAACGGCTGATGCGGTAAGTCGGCTTCAGGACAGGTGAAGCATGTTCCACGGACTCGCTGGAGTTCTCTGCCGTCAGTTAGAAGTAGTGAAACTTTGTCGAGCACGCCTACTCTTATCGTGTTATTTAACGTCGTATTGCTTGGATGTCCCATTTTTGCATGCCCGGTTCCTTCGGTGGCGCAATGTCCAGGTGAACCTGTACATGTTGGAATTGGAGTAGAAGCTGGCGGTGAAGTTGGCGCTTCGGTGGACTTCTCGTGGAGTTGTTTTTAGCTGCTGTGTGGGAGTTGGTGGTGTGTCGTCGATGAAGACCGGTGCCGTTGAAGGGCCAGTGATTGGTGTCAATGTTGCTGCTGCTGCTGCCGTTGTCTCTGCTGCTGCCAATGTTGTCTCTGCTGCTGCCAATGTTGTCTCTGCTGTTGTTCCTGCTGCTGATGATGATGTTTCTGCCCGATGTTGTTACTGCTGCTGCCGATGTTGTTCCTGCTGCTGCCGATGTTGTTCCTGCTGCTGCCGATGTTGTTCCCGCTGCTGGTTGTTGAATTGTTACTAACGCTCTTGTTCGTTCTGCCTCAGATATGGTTTCCGAATACCAGAAGCCTCCAGGACTGAAGTCAGGATCAAGATCTGGTGGGTGCGTCCAAGTAGTGGAACGAAGTCGAGTACGAAGACGTTGTTCTTCAATACTGCTTTTCCGATGTAAAGTTCGCCTCTCCCGTGGTACAGCTTGAACTCTTGGGTGGTGCTGTCTGCTTCGAGGTGAATGCCTTTCGCCATCAACTGGCTGAGACTTAGTAAGTTGTAACCGAGTCCTTCCGCTATTAGAACCTTTGACATTTGCAGTATGACGTTGGTCTCCCGTGACGGAAGTTGAACTACGCCTTGTCGTCATATGCGCAGGTTCTGGTTGTTGGCGACGGTGATGACAACTTCACGCTGGAGTTGGTGCTCTCGTTGGACGAAGCGACCCGAGGAGCATATGTGCTGTCCGCAGCAGCTATCCAAGAACCAGGTGTCCTTCCCGGATGGCTCGCTTTGAGCGATGGCTGCGTACGTCGGATTCGGTTGCAGTGACTCGCGACGTGGAGTGCGTTCGTCAAGTTGT